GTTTTGAATCCATTTCTATTCCCAAGAATGTAGGAGTGTTAGATGACTCATGATTTGCCAGAAGGGGCGTTTGTATAAAAATTTACAATGTCAGATTTTTCAAGGTTTCATTTTTTCTTTCATTTCATCTTTGACTTCATTTACTTTTGCAGTAGGGTCATTGCCTGTACTTCCACTGACAAGAACCGACGTATCATCCACATAGTTTGTTACAAATCCAGAGAGATGCAAATCACTTATACGCTATATATATATATATATATATATATATATATATATATATATATAACTAATATTTCGGGATAACGTAAGTGCCTTTTTAAAAATATTTATTTCCGAAAATACAGTAGTGGATGGTAAGAAAGTTAGATTAAGACTGAATTTTAATTATACAAGTACAATGTTCGTTAGCATGAGTAAAACAGGAAACATATCATGTTGCATTTCAACGGTTGCTAGGCGCTGCGATGATGTGCTGACTTGCATTTTCTATTTTCTAGCTTCTACAGGGTAGCCCTATAACTTATATATATATTTTGAGATACACGAAAACTAAAAACTATTTTTCGAAAACTAGTTTATTTATGTTTAAAGTACGCCCCCCAGCATCAATGCACTTTTGTAACCTGACCTTTCACAAATGAAATGCTTCTAACCAATCAGTTTTTGGAATGCCTTCAACAAACTGATTAATTGCTTGATCGATTTATTCTTCGGACCAAAATTTTCGAACACGCAGATCTTTTTTCAAATTCTTGAAGAGCACATTGCCAAATCGGGCAAATAAATCTTCTAGCACTTTGGTCTTTAGCTGGCGAAAAAGTCTACAGTTAGTTGGGCAGTGTGGCTGAAGGCTTTATCGTGATGCAGGATTGTTCCTCTGCAATAACTTTTTTTGAATGAAGACGATCCTGCAAAATGGTGTGCACTGTTCCTACCCCAAGAGTTGCCCCTATAGTCACATATGTGCGGCGAGAATCTTCTCCAATTAGCCGCTGAACTTTAGCAATGTTTTCTGCAGTCACAATAGAACATGGCCTACCACTACGTTCTTCACCAGCCACTGAATTCGGCATAGTAGCGAAATGCACTTGCCTGGGAGGGAGCTTCATTTCCAAATGCCTGTTGTAACCGTTCGATTCATTGATGTCCAGTTAAACCGACTTTAAGCTCATGGTAGATCATAGCGCGATAACTCCCTCGAGGCGACTCCATGTTTCGTCTTAAATTTGTTTACTGTGCACTTGTGCACTGTAAGACGCCAAATGAACTGAATGCAGAGATTTACTAATAAAGTATAGTTAATGCGCATCTCAAAATATATAGCGTGCCCCTCGTATATAGTATGGATACAAGAGGTGTCAAAACTGAGTCTTGCGCTCATTCCATTGACTTTTGTTTTGAATTTTTTATCAGACGGGTAAGACACTACCCAATCTAATATAGAACCTCTTAAACCTAAATAAAATAATTTTCAAAAGTAAGCAACTCGCACCGTGAGGTGTAGTGAAGAGGAATATTGAACTGTTCATCATGGCGTAACCTTCTTGAAATTAAATTCCTACGCGGAACTAACTTATTTGCAAGGTAAATAGGTCTCTTGGTAACGACTGTTTTATGTACAAAAACCAACATATGAAACTTGAAAAGATTATTGAGCTTCAGCCACCCCAGCTCACAGATCTTGGATGTAACATGGCTATACCTACGAAGGCCGAAAACAAAACGACAACAACAATTTTGAATTTTCTGCAATCTGGTTTTTGTTATGGAGTCAAGACAAGGATAAAACAGTATAAAACAGTAAAGCAGCTTAGACATAACTAAACTTTCGACCAATTTCTTTCTAGTCTTGAAATTGAGAATAGAACGATTGGAGTATAGGAGTCTTAGGCTTGCATATGTAGCTTTAGATATATTACTGACGTGGTGATGAAATCTAAGATTTACGTCTAAAGTAACACCTAGACTTTTTGCATGCGTGACGAGTGGAATATGGTCATTATTTACCCTCAAATCAATCATCCTTTCAAAATGCTCATAGCTGGTTTTGGGACAGAACAACACCGCAAAACTCTTGGTAGGATTGAGCTTCAAACAGTTAGCCTTGCAATAGTCAGTTATATTTACCAGATCTAAATTTATTTTATACGAAGCTTGATCCACATTAGTAGAGTCAAAAGTGAACGTCAATTGTGTATCGTCTGCGTAAGTATGAATACTACAAAACTGTAATACAGTATGCAAGTCAAAAGTATAAACTAAATATAGTAAAGGACCAAGCACGGAACCCTGAGGAACACCAGAAGCAACATCGGCACTAAGAGAAACTCCTTGGCTTGTTCTTATTCGTTGCTTGCGATTATTTAAGTATGATTTAAAAAAGCAAAGAGGAACGTCAGATAGTCCGTAGTACTTTAATTTGGATAGAAGCATTTCGTGGTTAACCGTATCAAATGCCTTTGAGAAATCTAACAACACCAGCACAGTGTAAATATGATTGTCTAAGTTAGAGATAATCTCATCAGTTAGGTGTAATAATGCAGATGTTGTGCTGTGACCACTACGGAAACCAGACTGACAATTTGGAAATATGTTGTACTCTTATTTTACCAATTGCATATAAACAATTTTTTCCAATATCTTTGACAAGGCACACAATATACTAATGGGTCTCAAATCCGAATATTCTGTAGGATTATTATTATTAGCCAGAGGAGTTATAACAGCCTCTTTCCACAAACTTGGAAATACTCCTTTTTCTAAACAAAAATTGACGATATGTGTTAGATGAGGTAACACTTCAGGAATACACAAATTGATCATTCCTATGTTAATTCCATCACAACCAGTTGCTTGAGATTTGATGGAAATTATAATATCTAAAACATCTTCTGGGGTAACTAAATGAAAGTGAAAGAGCGGAATGTCTGAATTAAAAGAACTTGAAATATATTCATCTACCGTACGATTTATAAGACGGAAATTAACATTATGGGATATAAAATTTGATAAAAAATAATTGTTAACTTCGTCAGGATTGAGCAAGTGTGGGGGAATTTCTGCCTAATATCATTATAGCTCGCAGGCACTGATCTCGTTTCATTAGTTTCGAATAATTGGAAATTGGTGTTCGACCAGATTTTTTCATCTCTGTTACGTATACACGTCGGTTGTCGACAGAAAGTGAAACCTATTATTCTATTTGGAACGCTCGTTAAAATACATAAACCGGCATATAAATAAATAAGTGCAGTCATAAGGCAACTGTGATTGCTAGCATTCATGTCTACTGGCACGTTGCCACGTTCACTTCCACACGCTAAGTATTTCGGCTAATTACGTTTTAATGGAGGCAAAAAATCCGGCTCGGTTGCATTCCATGGTATGAAGGAATTCACACACACACTGAGATGTTCTCGGAGACATGATATTTATGAAGAAATAAGTGCGAAAAGGAAGACCGCAGCGACCGTTTATTTCGTGCAACATTGATCGATCTTAATT